GTCGTGACTATGAGGGGAAGGTGCAGGGTTTATCTGGTGATGACGGATGGGTACCTAGGAATCCTCATCTCTCCTCACTAGCCAGACAGGACTGCTTTGTTCTAGTTCACACAGAGGACGGGAGAAGGGGAGAAAGCAGCATTGATTAGGCACCTACTGTATGCCAAGCCCTGCATTGAAGAGCTGCCTGTGTTTTCTCATTCAGTTCTCACCGCAGGTCTGTCCAGCGTAGTAAGTGCTGGACATAACAGGGGAGCTCAGCCAGGAGCCCCGGGTCATTTTCTGGCCTTGGCACTTGCTGCTCAGTGGCCTCGAATGAGTGGCTTTCTGAGTTTGGACCTTAGTCCCTCATCCATCAGAGAGGCATGAACATGCCTGCCTTGTCATTGATTAGGTCAGAGACATCCCGTGTAAAGGACTTTTCCTAGAAGAGTCCCTTCATTCCTGATAGCAAGTTTTATTGACCTAAATCAAGAGTTGACCCACCCTGGCTTACAGCTTAAAAAAATATATATATATATATATATCAGTAGTAGTATTCTTTATAGTTCACATATATTCCAGTGTTAATTATGTACATGTATATGTGTTTTATCATTTTTTTATCAAGGTGAAAGTCACACAATATAAAATTAACCATTTTAATGTGAAAAATTCAGTGGCATTTAGGATATGCGCAATGTTGTGCCGTCATCACCTCTGTCTAGTTCCAGAACATTTTCATCACCCCCAAAGGAAACCACAGCCCCATTAGCAGTCACCCTCCATTCCCCCTTCCCCAGCCCCTGACAACCCCTAATCTGCTTTCTGTCTATGGGGATTTCCCTGTTCTGGACATTTCATATACACTGAATCATGCAATATGTGTGCCTATTACAGCTTTTGTTTGGCCAATGGCTAAGCAAGAATTTTACACTTATGATGGTTGAAAAAAATCAAAATACTATTTCACGACACATGCACATTCTATGAAAATCACATGTCAGTGCCCATAACTGTATCGGCACACAGCCATGCCCCTCCATGGAGACTATGCAGAGAGAGACTGTAGGGCCCGCCAGCAGGAAATACTGACTCTCTGGTCTGAAGCTCAGAGAAGGTGATTCCATGGAGAGAAGCCAGCACAGCTGCCCTTGGACTTGAGTCTGAGCTGCCCCCCGAAACTGTCGCAGCCTCTCAGTATGCATTTAATAGGCATTTGTGGGATACTTCTCATCGGGCAGGTGCCGGAGAGAGATGCCAGCCAGAGTAAGCTGGTCTCTGTGCCACCCCCAGCCTCGCCCCGGCAGCTGCCAGGCATTAGATCAGCAATTTGCCCAATAAAGATGGGGAGGAGTCTGAAGACATCCTACAGGTTAGTGGCCTGACATTCAGTATCAGGCATGTCGCAAGCCCCTGGGTGTAAAGGTACAATTTATTAGCGATGACCAACTGGAGAGTGACTTTTTTCTTGGATTTTTTGTTACCTGTTGGCCATACATCTAGGGGTTACTTTTTGTTTCGTTTTACTTTTACTTTGTTAAAAAGTCTTTGGCCCTGGCTGGGTGGCTCAGTTGATAGGAGCATCATCGTGTGCACCGAGATGTTGTGGGTTCAATTCCAGGTCAGGGCCCAGACCTAGGTTGTGGGTGTGACCCCTGGTCAGAGTGTATTCAGGAGGCAACTGATTGATGTTTTTCTCTCTCTTTGTCCTCTTCTCTCTCTAAAATCAATAAACATAGCCTTGGGTGAGGATAAAAACATCTTTTATTTAGATTTAAAATTTTCTGATTTTTAAAAGATTTATATTTTATTCAAACATTATTTTATTTAGGTTAAATTTTTATTTAGGTTTATTTTTATTTTATTTTAAATTTTACTTAAACTTTCTAATTTAGATTTTCAAATTTTTTATTTTATTAAATTTATTTAAAAATTTAAATTTATTTAGATATACAATTTAAAATTTTTATATTTGTTTTTTTTATTTGAAAATTTTAAATTTTATTTAAATTAATTTTTGTTGTTGCTAATCAGAGGATATTTTTTCCATTGATTTTTAGAGAGAGTGGAAGGGAGGGAGGCAAGGAGGGGCCGGAACCTGCAACCCAGGCCTTTGACTGGGAATGAACCCTCGACCTTTAGGCTGACACTCTAGCCACTGAGCCGGGCTTTAGATGAAATTTTGAAAATTTTTGTTTATATTTATTGCAGTGTCATCTACATACGATAAAATTTACCAAGTGGTGCAGCCCTCGCCACGATCCAGCTGCAGAACTTTGCATCACCCCAAGGAGACCCCTCTTGCCCTTTGCGGTCCATCCTGCCCTCACCCCGAGTCCCGGCAGCACTGACCGCCCTCTCGGTCTGTAGCTGTGCCCTTGCCGGACATTCCCTATAAATGCCGCCGTTCAGCGTGGTCCTCGGGCCTGGCTTCTCTCCCTCAGCCTAGCTGAGATTTGGCTTCTCCTGTGTCTTCATTCCTTCCCATTGCTGAGTAGTGTTCCATGTGATCATAGCTCGTGTGTCCCTTCACCTGTCAAAGGATGCAGCTGCCCCTGAGGGTGCAATGATCCGGTGTCGTCCCTGTCGGTTCTTGGAGTCGGGGACGATCTCCCACCCACGGCTTAGAAACGCAGTGACACCCTTCCCACCTCACTGTCCCGGCCTCTTCCTCTCACCGGCCTGGGGCGTCAGTGCTGCCGCCTGCGAAGTCATCCCTTTGGGCACCCGGTCCGAGCTGTTGGGCCCCCTGGCACGCCTTGCCAGGGGCCGGTGTCCCTGTGTGTTCTGCCCTCGCGTAGCCCGCACAGCGGGGAGGCTTGCAGGATGGGGGGTGGTGGCTGAGTTCGAGCCCCATCTTCTTGGCACCTCAGGGGCCGCTTCCTGGGAGCCCGGCACAGCCCCCGACCTGCCCTGCCTTCAGGGGAGGTTTGACACTGGCTCCTGATAACCAGCCTGCACAGCGCCTCCCCTTCCCGGAAGCGCCGCCCGCACTCAAGCAGCTTGTCCTGGTTCCTGGTTCCTGGTAGGCTCCCCGTCACCCCCCAGAGGCACGGCTTTGGATCTGGCTCCGCGTGGCCCGTCCTCGGGAACGGCCTCGAGCCCATCGCCTCACCCGCTGACCGCAGTGCCCTCACGGGTGGGAGATTATGATGTCATGACCGCATGTGATTAATCACGACAGGACGCCTCTGCACGCAGTGCATTTCGTAAGGACCCTGTTTAACATTATTAACGTTTATTTGTAAAGTTCTTTGGGGACCGGCGACGGGTAATTTCTGGGCGCCTGCGGCAATGTCTTTGGAAAGCAAAAGAGTATAAATATCTTTCAGATCCGTTTTTTTTTTTCACTTTCAAAATTTTTTTTAATGGAGCTGAAATTCACAAACATAAACTTAGCCATTTTAAAGCGAACAGCTCAGTGGCCTGAAGCACCTTCACAATGTTGTGCAACCACCACTTCTTTCTATTCCAGAAACACTCCAGAACATTCTCGTCTCCCCACAAGGAGACTCCGGCCCCCTTCGCCGTCACTCCGTCACTCCCCCTCCCCCTCCACAGCCTCTGGCAACCACACCTCTGCTTTCCGTTTCTATGGATGTTCCCGTCCTGACATCTCCTAGGAATGACTCACGCGTGTGGTCTCTCCGTATCTGGCTCCTCCCACTCGGCAGCATGTCTGCAAAGTTCACCCGGTTGTCAGGTGTGTCCGTGCTCCCTTCCTTTTCACGGTTGAATAATATTCTACGCAGGGAGAGACCTCCTCTGTCTAGCTATTTGTCAGGGGATAGGCATTTGGGGTTGTGTCCAGTTTTTGACTACTGTGCACAGGTCTTTGTTTGAATCCCTGTGTTTAATACTTCGGTATACACGCCTGGGAGTGGGGTTGCTGGGTCGTGTGGTAATGCCACATATAACATTTTGGGGAGTCATCTAATCGGATCTATTTTAAAAGGCTCCACGGGGCTAGGACAGGGTTGGGGTCTTTTAATTATGCTCCCGCCACTCCTGGGGACATTTATTCTTCTGACATTATTTTGAGCATCTATATGCACAACCTCATTTCTTCCCTCAGTCCCCACGGCGGCTCTCTCTCTCTCTCTCTCTCTCTCTCTCTCTCTCTCTCTCTCTCTCTCCTGCACACACACACACACACACTCTCTCTCTCCCTGTTCCAGGAACACTGGGCTTCTCCCACGTTCCCCTGGGAGCCAAGCTATGGGCTGGTCGAGGATTAGGGAGACCCTACCCCCTTGTCCTTGCAACTCAACAGGATGGATCTCACTTAGGTGGCAGAATCAGCCCCCTTTACAGATGTGGAAACTGAGGCGTGGGCGGGGGTTTGGGATCCCTATTCCACCTCACCAGCTTCCTCTTATTTCTCATTCCTCAACATTTGTGCCGCTCTGCACGTTGGCCCTGGGAGAGTGGCTGGCATGTGGTCCCTGCACAATGAGCGCTTTTCTAGCTGACTTTGGGGTAGAAAAAAGGAGAGAGACAGGGTCTGATGGAGAAATTATCTGCAGTACAGCGGGGTGAATGGTGTGCCCCAAAGATATGCCCACATCCTAACCTCCCATGTCTGTGAAGGTGCAAGCCTCCTGCGAACAGGGTCTTTGCAGGTGGAATGGAGTGGAAGGTCTGGAGATGAGATTATCCTGGATTTAGGGGGGCCCTAAGTCTGCTGACAGGTGTTCCCAGAAAAGAGAAGGGGAACAGGCAGAGAAAGGGAAGCTGTGTGAAGACGGAGGCAGAGATGGAACAAAGCAGGTACCACAAGCCAAGGAAGGTCCAGGGTGGCCGGCAGCCACCAGGGGCCGGGAGAGGCCTGGGACTGAGTGTCCCTCCGGGTCCCCAGAAGGAACCAGCCCAGCCGACACCCTGATTTCAGACCTCTGGCCTCCAGGCCTGTGAGAGAATGCGTTTCTGTTGTTTAAATCCCCGCAGTGTGCCCTCATTTGTTACAGCAGCCCCAGGCAACTCATGCACATGGCCGGGAGCTGGCTGCAGGGGAGAGAGCTGGGGTCCCCGCACACTGGGCCTGCGCTGAGCGGCAGGTTCCCCCAGCCTGGCAGGGAGGAGGGCGCCCCACTCATGGGCAGGGTGAAGTCAGATGAATGCCCAGAGAGAGGCGCATTATTATTGTTGTCATCACCATTATTATCATGAAGAGTCATTATTGACTCTGTGACCTAGGGACCCATTATCCCCCGACTGTAGGCCACCCCCCGCCTCCCACCCCAATTCATGGAGTCCCTGCTCGCGGCCAGAGCTGCCAGAGTAAACACAGGACACCGGTTACATTTGCATTTCAGATAGACGAGGAATGACGTTTTCGCCCAAGTATGTCCCCAGTGACTGTTCCCCTCCCTGTCTTAGCTTCGAGTCCTTGTTGTTGTTACAAATAACCTCTCTCAACGCTGGAATGACACATCTAATCGCAGAAAAGCTTCGGGATGAGATGCAGAGCTCCCTGTCCCTTTCGCCGGTTTCCCCGGAAGTGAACGGCTCCCAGGACCAGCATACAGTTGTGGAAACTGAGAAATCCATGTTGGGGCGATGCTATTGACTAAACTCCCAACTTCATTCAGGTGCCCCCGGATTTTCCACGAACGTCCGTCCCCCTTGGGTTCAGGGATCCCCCACGGCATGGAGTCACCCTGTCGCCCCCGTCTCCTCGGGTCTCTGATGGCTCCCCGGACGTTCCTTGTTTGCCTCACGTCTTCGGCAGAATTGCAGAGTGCTGGCCGGGGTCCCCCGGGACATCTGAACGCCCCCCAATCTGGGTTTGTGTGATGCCCTATTGTGATTAGAAGGGGGCCTGGGGTTCAGGGGGAGGACCACAGAGACGAGGTGCCCTCCAGGCCACGTCATCCCAGGGCACCTGCGGTCTGCGTGGCTGGCCACCGTGATGTTGATGAACCCTGTGCTTTGCGGCTGGGGCACTGGAGGAACTACCTCCAGGACCTTCAGGGCCAGGGGGAGGTTTGGTTCCAGAACGTGACGACAGCCTGAGCCAGGCCCTGGGCCAGCTGCCGGGATGTGCCCCTTCTTGGTGCGGCTCTGCTGGAAGACAAGTGCAAAGAGGGCAGCCCGGGGCTTCAAAACGGTCCTCTTACCTTCTTCCCCCGCGGTGCCGAGAGGTGGGCACTGCAGCCTCAAACCGGGGCTGAGAGGCAGGTGCTGGGGGCGGCCTGAGTGGCTTCTCTGGCTTGCAGCCTAAAGAACGTCGCCTTGAACGCTCACAGTTGATTTAACCGGCGCAGCAACTCTGTGAGGTGATCCGAATTTTCTGAGGAGAACAGAGGCTCAGAGAGGCTGCGATACCTCCTGAAGGCCACACAGCAACTCGAGTCTGCCGACACCCACCAGCTCCCGTCCCTATCTCTGTGGTTAAGGTGCGTCCCCCAGACGATGTCCTGAAAAGCAGGGGCGGGCAGGGCAGGAGGAAAACTGGTTTACAGGCGTTTCCAACCTCCCTACCACTGACAGCTGGGCTGCATCAGCGCACAGTGGGGCATCCGTGCATTGTGGGGCGTTGAGCAGCAGCCCTGGTGGCATCCCAAATGGCGGTAGTATCCCCTTTTTCCCTGAGGAGCAGCCACGTGTCCAAGTTTCCCCCCTGGGGTGGGGGGCAGTGGGGAGACTCTCTGTCTAACTATGGGAAGCCAGGCTGCTTCTAGATCTGGGATTTGCATTTCCTACAAACTTCGGGGCCTGCTGGGTGGTTGAATTCAAGATGCTGGATGCTTGCGATTTAATAAAACTCTGAGCTCCCCTGACCCCGGGGAGCCTTGAGCTCAGTGATCTGTACTGTTTACCCCAAACAGTGACTTATAAATCACTGGAATGTACGGAGCGAGAAAAACCAGAGGTGCAGTCAGCTCCCGGCCCGGCTCTCACGTTGTGCGTGCTGCTGGGAGCCGGGCCAAGGCCTGACTCACGCCCGCGATGGCACACCTGTGCCCGCACCCCTCTGAGACAATATTGGCTACACCCATGGCAATCCGGCTCGGCCGTACGCTTGCTTACACACCAAGGGTGGGAAGGGGTGTGGGGCGCGCTCTGGCCGGGAACACTGGGGGCCCCGCTGAGTCAGCGTGGAGGGTGCTGCGGACGGGGACCTTGGGGGAGAGAGTGGGGGGAAGGGAATTTTGGATGTGTACCTTCTGGTCCTGAGCATTCATTTTTGTTTTTCACTTTTTAGAAAATAATTGAGGTGGAATTCATATAACATAATATTTGCCTGTTTTAGTCAAATCAGATGGGGGCTTATACGCAGCAGCTTTATTTCTCAAAGTTCTGGAGGCTGACGTCCAAGGTCAAGGTGCTGGTGGGGGCCCCCTTGGCGGTCCGTCGGCGACGTCTTCTCACAGGGTGGAAGGGCTGCCTTTAATCAGGGGCCTAATCCCATTCATGAGGGCACCACCCTTATGACCTAATCACTTCCCAGAGGTCCCACCTCCTATTACCATCACTTTGGGGGGGGGGCCGATTTCAACATATGAATTTGCGGGGGGGACGCAAGCATTTGGACTATAACCATTAATGATTTTCAAGTGAACAATTTAGCATTCACAGTGTTGTGCAACCATCACTACCATCTAGATCCAGAAGGTTTTTATCACACCCCCGCCTCCAAAATATACCCTGTCCCCTGAGCACTCACTCCCCTTCCCCTCCCCCAGCCCCTAACTAACACGAATCCACTTGCTGCCTCTATGGATGTGTCTGTTCCGGTCACTTCATAGAAATGGAATCCCATGCTACCTGCCTTTTGTGTCTGGCTTCTCTCCCTCAGCGCGGTATTGCCAAGGCTGTGTGTCCAAGCTTCAGTCCTGTTCATGGCCGAGTAATATTCCACTGTGTGGACGGACTGCGTTTTGTGTATCTACGCATCCGTGGAGGGACATAGAGTTTTTGGCTATGATAAATAGTGCTGCTGCAAACATGTGTGTGCAAGCACTTGTTTAAACATCTGCTTTCAATTGTTTTGGGTCTATACTTAGGAGTGGAATTGCTGGGTTATGTGGTCATTCTATGTTTAACCTTTTGAGGAACTGCCAGGTGGTTTCCATAGCAACTGCATCATTTTTACATTTCCCCCAGAAATGCTTGAGGGTTCCAATTTCTTCACACCGACACTTGTTATTCTACTCCACCCCCACCCTTTTTTTTTTGCTAACCTAGTGGATTTGATTTACATCCATTTTTAAGCATTTGCTGTGTGCAGGCTCTGTCCTAAGCATTGGTGGTGGTGATGGGCGGAGGGGGGAGGGGGGAGGGGGGAGGGTTGGGGGGGATGGCTTAGAGGAATTTGCCGTCTAGAAGGTTCTTAACTTGGGACACTGGGAGTATACATAGGTTCATAAGGCCAGGAAGGCATCCAGGAGGACTTCCTGGAGAGGGTGATGAGTAGGAGTTGATTAGGCCAAGGGTCTCAAACTATGGCCTGTGGTTGGCATGAGCCCCTGCCTCATGCTCTGCCGTTACCGTGGCTGGTTATGAAAGGGTTGCTGATGTGACCCGGGGGTAGAATTGGGAGGCGGGGGTCCCGTGGTTCCTATTATAAACACAGTTCAGTGCCTCTTTCCCTGATCAAGACAAGGTGCCTCGAGAAGGTAAAATCCTTCGTCCTCTGGGCTGTGGGTTCAACACCCTGATGACAGAAGCTTCCGAGACAAGAATGGAGGGACCGCATTCATGTTGATAGTCCTCCGTCTCCAGCACAGAACAGGTTCCCTTTGGAGGATTTGGGAAATGATTGGCCATCGGCTTTTGTCCCCATCAGGTCCGAAGTGGGCCACTGGAAAGCGTGCTCGAGGGGCCGGCCCGACGACTGCGGGGCCTCCACCAGGCGATTGTGGCGACAAAGGGCCTCGTAGCAGGCAACCGAGGGCCACGTCCTGGTGACTCACCGTGTCCCACCACCCAGAGGCTGTGTGCTAAGGGTGGTGGCCCCAGGGGAGGCCGCGTGCGTGCGTGCGTGCAGGCAGCTCTCGGACACACCTTGTCCTGGGGCGCGCTGAGTCACCAGGGACGCCAGCAGGCAGTGGGAACCCGGCCCCCTTTGGTGCAGTTTGGGGGCCTCAGGCAAGACCATTGCCACACCCGCCAAGCAGAGCGGAGGGGGTGTTGGGAGGGATCACGCAACGAAGGCGGTCGGTTGAGTGGCTGGCGCAGAGGGAGCGCTCACCCCGTGGCCGCAGTAGTAGATGACAGCGCCTCCTGGCAGGCAGGTGGCCCCTGTGAGCGCAGGTTCTGTCAGACCTTCTCTTGGCACCACCGTCCACTTCCTTGGCCTGCAGGCACCACCGTCTGCTTCCTTGACCTGCAGGGCTGGTCCCTGCTCTGGGGAATCCCTCTGCGCCACCCCCCACCCCCCTCGGTCAGAACCAAGTGCTTTTCCTTCCCAGACGGAGCAGGGCCTCGCTGGGCACAGGGCTGGCGGGGCTCCGCGTGCCTGTGCTCATAATGTGTGGAAGGTTGTACCAAACCCCCCTGCTCTACCCGCCACCTGCTGCCTCCACCGTGGGCTGCCTGGCACCTGAGCTGACAGGAGGGATGGGTCTTCAGCCTCACTGCCCTTCGTGCATGCACTAGGCGCTCAAAAGAAATGCCTTGTCCGATCTCTTCAAATGAAGGCAAAACTTGCATGCAGCCGAGTGAGCACATCTGAGGTGTGTGCTCAGTGGATTTTGCAGGTGTGACCATCACCCAGATCAAAATGTGGGGGCATCCGGCACCCCAGAAGGCTCCCTCTGCTGGTGAGGGAAGCCACACCTCAGACCTCTGTCACCGGAGATGAGCTTTGCCGGCTGTTGATTTCACTGATGGGGAGTCACAGTTATGCCCTCTCCCACCTCTGGCTCCTTCGCTCAGCACTGTGCCCCCTGGGTTCCTCCGCAATAAGCAGGTGTGTGTTCCTTTTCACAGGTGTATAGTATTCCATTACAGAATCCACCGTGGCTCACTCACTGGAGACCTTCGAGTGGTTCCCTTTTTTCCTTTTTTGGCCGTTATGAATAACGCATACCTTTCTTTTGTATGAACATATAGGTGTGTTTCTTTAGGGTGGAATTGCTGGGTCTTTGCTTTAGCAGATACTGACAAAGTGGTTGTATTGATTTATTGCTTGTGAAAGCAAAACAATTACCCAAGTATAGGGCACAGAGCATGGCCCACAGCGTCTGGGGGCGGGGAGGGACCCCAAACCTTGAACCCAAACCCTGAGCCCTACGCGACAGCATCCCCCGGCTGCCTTTGGAGGCCCGACCCGGAGGCCTCGGCAAGCAAATAAGGCTCAGGTTTGAGTTTTGTGAAGTGAGACGTCCTGCCGCGCCGAGCTGGAGGGCCGTTGCCATCCCCGCTTCACACAGTTCTCAGGTCCTGATTCCAACCGCCACACCCCCGGTGGTTGGGGGATGGGTGGTCTTCAAAGAAAATATTTAAAAAATTGAACATGGCATCGTTCCTGTGCCGTGTGCTACGTCCCTGGGGCAAGTTGCCTCCCGCTCTGCACTTGGGGTTTTGTTTTCCATAAAATCGAGGTGCAAGTGGAACCCCCAGGCGCTAGGAGGAATAAGAGAGGAGTGATGACTAAGTCCTGGGCGGCCGCGGGAGACCCGCAGGTGTGCCGGGCCGCCCTGCTCGCGGCTGCGGGAGTCGTGGCCCGGGAGAGTTCGGAGGTTTACGAGAGCGCGGCCTGGCCAGCGTATTTCAGATATGCGCTTGGCCTCCCAGCCGCGGCCCACACTCCCCTTATCACTCCTGGAGGAGGAGGGTCCCGCCAGCACCCTCCTTCCCCTCTCCCGGGCTGCTGCCAGCACCGCCCGCCCGCCCTGCACCGCGCGGAGCCGCAGAAGCTGGACAGCCAGCTCTGTGTCCCGGCCCCAGTTGCAAAAGCCCGCTGTTACGTAAGCCCGCGCTGAATTTTGGAAAACTTCCCTTTTTTTCACCATCCAGACGATTTTCCAGTGTCACCCAAGCAGCCAGCTGCGGGGGCCGCGGCTGTTTACACGTCTCTGTCGGTCGGAACAGCGTGTCGGAGGGCCAGGGCAAGGCCTGTGTGAGCACTTTCGATTGTGGAAAAACAAATGTGATTTCAGAAAGGAAAAAAAAAGAAGAGGAAAAATGAAACGGAAAACAACGGTTCGCGGAGCTGGCACTCTGAGGCCGGGCCCCGACTACGATTCCTGACGACCCGCGGAGGGCTGCTCCGGTCTATTCTAGAAGACTCCCGGCGCCCGGGGGGCCGGCCGCCTGTGCCCTCAGCCTCGCCCCTCAGCACGCGGGCCACTCGGGTGTGCGTGGAGGACACAGCTTCTTTGCACGGGTCGCGGGCATGTGTCCCCGGGTAGCCACGTGCTCATTGCAGTCCAGTCAAACAATCAGGTTTTTCTTAAGACGTCAAAACTTTTCCACCGAAAGGGCAGGTTTTAAAAATATGTGTAGTATGAGGGAGTTTCCCTTTCCCTTTTATTTTTCCAGGAGTAGATGGGAAGTTCAGCCGTGTGTGTGTGTGTGTGTGTGTGTGTGTGTGTGTGTGTGTGTTGGTGGGGACACAGGGCCGAGGGACAGGAATAAAAAACTAGCATTGCACCCTGGCCGGTGAGCTCAGTGATTAGAGCGTCAGCCCACACACCAAAGGTTCTCAGGTTCGATTCCTGCTCAAGGGCGTGCACCGGGGTTGCAGGTTTGATCCTGGCCTTGGTCCGGCCTCATGCAGGAGGCTAATCGATGTGTCTCTCTCACATCCCTCTCTCTCTCTCTCTTTCTCTCTCTCTCTCTCCCCCCTCCCTCCCTTCCACTCCCTCTAAAATTCAATGGAAAAAAATATCCTCAGGTGAGGATTAACAAAAACAAAACAAAACATGTTGCTTGAAGACCTATTATGTGTCAGTCCCTGCGTGGGGCCCTCTTGGTCCGCAGGACTTGGAGAGGCAGTAATATTTCCACCACTTCATAGCGAGGGAGGGGAAACCGAGGCACAGCTGATTTCCTGTGGAGCCAGGAGCCCAACTGTCTGATTGGAAGCCTGACCCAGACTTGCTTCTCTGTACGAGTCTCACAGGCCTATGGACCCCTGACACCGAAGGCAAGACACTGGGACATTTCTCTACAATGAAGTGTCTACAACTTTCATCACACGGGGGGGGGGGGGGGTATTGATATCAAAAAGATACAAAACAACCTCCCCAGAAGAGAGAGGGAGGGAGAGGGAGAGAGAAAAACATCAATGATGAGAATCCTTGATCGGCTGCCTCCTGCACGCCCCCTGCTGGGAACCGAGCCCACAACCTGGGCATGTGCCCTGACCGGGAATGGAACTGTGATTCATAGGTCGACTCAACCACTGAGCCACACCAGCTGGGTCAGAACAGGTTTATAAGAGAACCACAGCCTAGAGCCCGGCCAAGTTGCTTCTCTTTCCTGAACCTCAGTTTTGTCATCTGAGAAATGGGTTGTATCTTTAGGTGCCTCCCAATACTCACACATGTAGAGTGGGTTTGGTGTGTTCACAGGCGAGGAGGCCTTTTCCTGCTTCCACAGTGCAAACATCTAGTAAGACCGTCTTGATCTTTGTGGGAGAGGCTCCGGGCTGCAGTGTGAACCCCGGGGGGAGGGGCTGGGCACGTCTGCTGTGCCTTAGGTTCCTGCCTGGCTGTGCGGGCCAGCTATCACCGAAAGACCAGGCTGCCAGGTTTAGCAAATAAAACACTGCACATCTGTTAAATTTGATTTCAGATAAACGCATTTTTTTAGCACAAATATATACCAAATATTGCATGGAACGGGATATACTCCCTTCATTAAAAAAGTTATGCCCTACCTGGTTTGGCTCAGTGGATGGAGCGTCGGCCTGCGGACTGAAGGGTCCCAGGTTCGATTCCGGTCAAGGGCATGTACCTTGGTTGCGGGCACATCCCCAGTAGGGGTTGTGCAGGAGGCAGCTGATCGATGTTTCTCTCTCATCGATGTTTCTAACTCTCTATCCCTCTCCCTTCCTCTCTGTAAAAAATCAATAAAATGTATATTTTTAAAAAGTTACGATACTTGAGTAGATTTTCATAGGCCCTAAATATTTCATTTATTCTCCCTGGAGGCAAGGGACTAATGAAAATGTATTTTTCCGCCTGAGAAGTTCTTTTTCTTTTTTTCTGATTTTAAAAGAAATTGAGAAATTCCGGTGGCTCCTAGAAGTCCTAGGGCCCTGCCTGGCCGGCGTGGCTCAGTGGTGGAGCATTAACCTGTGAACCAGGAGGTCACGGTTTGTTCTCCAGTCAGGCACATGCCCGGGTTACGGGCTTGATCCCCAGTGTGGGGCATGCAGGAGGCAGCCGATCCATGGCTCTCTCCCATCATTGATGTTTCTATTTCTCTCTCCCTCTCCCTTCTTCTCTGAAATCAATAAAAATATTAATAATAATAATAATAAAAAGTCCTCGGGCCCTGGGCCTCCCGTCCTTGTTGTATCAGCCGGCCCTGGGGAGGTGCCCCCCTTGCAGCCGTGTCTCTGATGGACGCGATGACAGTGGTTCCCTTCGAGGCACTGACTGCATCTCCCAGCCTCATGTGTGCACAGGGCCGGGGCCAGGTCCTGGGGAACATCGAGGGGGAGAAGTGTCGCCTGTGCAGGCCAACCTGCCCCTCACAGAGAGGCTTCCGGCCTGGTGGGCTCCGTTTGAATTTGAGGAAGCGTGAATCAGACCTCGGGGCCCCAGGAGGCAGGCCTGAGTGAGGTGTCCTTTCGTGGGGCCACCCTGTGTGCTCACCCCTTTGCTCACTGGCCTTCCGGCCGCCGGGGGCTGGGGACCAATTTAGAGCATTTGTCATCAGACTGAAATGGACCTTCACAGAATTCCCAGTGTCTTAACAGCTTCCTGGTCCCCCAGAGCTTTCTCGAGGAACTCGCGGTGAATTGGGGACATCCCGGCGGTTCAGGCTTCAGCGGGATTTTGCTGACGGGAGGCAGGTGGATCGGACGCTGGGGCCACAAACGCAGTGCCTTCTTTGGGGTCTGCCTGGCTGTGATCTCTGTGAGTTTGGAGACTTGCGCCTGGTATGAGAAGCCATGGTCACAAAGGCCGTCTCCACATTCAGGGGGAAAAAATGCAGGACACACAATTACATTTGAATTTCAGATAAACAACACTTTTTTTAAAAGCATAAGTATAACCCAAATTTTGCACAGAATGAGAAAAATTTTTTGTTTATATGAAATTTAAATTTAGCTGGGCATCCTGTGTTTTTCCTGGCAATACTACACAGAGGAGAAAACAAAAAACTCAAGAAGTGGGGGTGGGGGGGGGCGGTGAGGGAGCAACCGTTTTGGCTTCAGGTCCCAGTGGGTGCCTGGCCACGGCGGGGGCTTTATTTACATCCTTTTAAATCATCGCCATGACCCGTGCATTGGTGAGGAAGACGAGGGCTGAGAGAAGCCAGGGCAAGGTGAGGGTCTTGCTTGGTGAGCAACCCGGGGTGCTGTGGACAGCAGGTGTGTCCAAGGGGGAGTTCCGGATTCATTCCACCAGCGTCAAAACGGAGCAGGACTCCTCAGAGAGTTCAATATACAATGTCCACGTGACCCAGCTATTCCGCTCCCGAGTGTCAGCCCCAAAGATTTGGAAACAGATGTTCAAATCCTTGCACACACATGTGCATAGCAGCACTGCTCATGGCCACCAAAGGAGAGCAGCACCCCAGGGTCCATCAGTGGAAGAACGACGCGGTGAACAGAACCCGGTCCGTCCATGCAGCGGAGTATCACTCAGCCATAAAGGGGCACGAAGCACTGGCATTCGCTACAACGTGGAGGCAGCTCGGAAACATCGTGCTGAGTGAAAGGAACCAGGCACACAGTGCATGAGTCTGTGGATACGAAATGCCCAGGACAGGCAAACCCGCAGAGACAGGAAGCAGATTCGTGGTTGCCAGGGGCCGGAGGGCTCTGGGGAAGGGCTGCTAATGGGGGCACGGGCTCCTTCTGGGGTGATGGAAATGTTCTGGAATTAGATAGAGGTGATGGCTGCACAACATCGTGAACGAACCAAATGCCCCTGAATCGCACAAATGCATGTGGTTAAAATGGCACCAATTACATGTTCTGTACATTTACCACAATTTTTAAAACACCAGGCAGGGGCTTGGGTTCTCCTCAGGCCCGTGGCCAGGGTCCCGGAAGAGTAGGGAGCAGGGAGCAGGGCCCTCTTTGGTGGATAGCTGCTCCCAGGAGCCACGCCCTGTATGTTTCAGCTGTCAGGCCCCCAAAATCCTCGGCAGCAGGGATCGAAGATGTGCCCCTTTAACAGAAGTGGACACGGAGGCCCAGGAGGTCAGTGGCCAGCTGGGATTCTAATGTGGGTCTGTGGACCCCCCAAGCCCAGGGGTGTCCCTCCAGGGACATGCCATCTGCAGTCACGGTGAGGGTGGGCCCACGGAGAGCCACCACGGGCCGATTCCCGTCTGGGGAGGTAATAAGGAACGAGGGGCGTAGGCCAGGCAGCCGCACGGGCTGTGACCCCCACACCAGGCAGGAGCCTGACCCCCAGCACAGCCTCCTTGTGCAGGGCCAAGTGATGGCCCACAAAGAGCTCGAATTTCGACAACCAGGAGACACTTTGGTGAACAGCCCGGTTCCTGGTGCCAGGCAGCCGCCCCTATTGGGCTGGGGGAGGAACGTCACCTCCTCATGCCTCAGTTTCCCCTCTGTACCCGCACCTCCCGGTGGGTTGGCGGAGTGTTAGCGGAAGGTGCTGCTGCATGTGGGCTGGGGAGCAGCTGAGCCCAGCCCCTTGGGAGTTCGAGGTTCTCGGGGGCATCTCAGTGGGGACAGGAGACCCCTTCCCAGAGGGACCTGGCCGTCTGCCTACTTGTTTCATGGAAAAACTCGGATCCCGGAGAGAACACGGGCTCATTCTGAAATGCTGGGGACAGAAGGCAGCCTGCCCTGTCCGTGGGGACGGGGGTGAGTGCACAGGGCTCTGGGCCTGGTATTTAGGAATAATCGATCCATCCATCAATCAGTGCCTTTTTCTTTTAATAAAGAAAATGGGGCCGTAGAACTGGTCATGTCGTTCTTGGAATACAGAGTTATAGAGTGGTTCTCCTCGCAGGCAGAGCTGCACAGAAATGCATGCATCCCACGGGGAAGAGAGGGGGGGGGGGGGGGGGGGCGGGGAGGAGAGGCCCTCGAGGCTGGTTGATGATGGAATTTGGCTCTCGTGCTACTTTGGAATCAAAGCCCCTGACGAAATGCAAACCTCCATTTGACAGATGAGAGAAACTGAGGCCTGGGGCTCGGCTGGGTGCACCCGTTCACCACCATTTGTTCTCCGTCACCCCGTGGAGCCCCTGGCTTGCCTGCCACAGTCCTCGGCCTCACAGACATACGCGCACACCCCCCCCCTCCCCGCCCCATCTCCTTTCACTGCGTCCCCCCGTCCATAACCAGTCCCCTTCGGCCGGTTAAAAATAGCTGGTAGAGGACGCCGGTGAGTTCTGAACGAGGCCCCAGAGCCAGGCGGCCGCGATCTGCAGGCCACAGCCAGGGGCGGCGCAATTGTGGCAACACGCAGGGTACAAAGGCGCCGTTCAAGA